CAGAGGACATGTAGCTGTCTGGGAGACAGAAAGGCCTTTCTGGATAAAGAATATTAGAATTAAACTGCCCATAACCTAATGCTTCAGTCAATAATAAACATTTATTATCTCACACAGTTTTGGAGAGTCAGGAATTTGGGAATAGGTTGGCTGGGGGGTTCTGGTTCAGAATCCCTCATTAGACTGCAGTTGGTAGTTGGTATCAGTCAGGGCTGTAGCCATCTGAAGGCTTCTGAGGCTGGAGCACTCATATCCACCATTGCTCACCGACACGGACAGCATGAGGATGCTGGCTTTTAGTGAATGCCTTAGTTTCTCACCTTGAGGACCTCTCTAGAGATGCGTACGTGTTCTTCAAACACAGCAGCTGGCTTGGATAGTGTAAGAGTAGAAACCGTATTTCTTTTCATTTAGCTCCAGAAATCAAAGTGTCATTTTGGCAATATTTACTGGTTAAACAAGTGTTGGCCCTATTCCACATGGGATGACACAGGGGCATGAAAACTAGGAGGTGTGAATCACTGGGTCCATCTTGGAGGTTGGCTACCACATAGATAACATCTTATCTGCGTCTTAGAGATTGAGTGGGAATTAGCCAGGTGAGAAGGGTTGGTGTTTTGGGTGAACTGAGTACCTTAAAATCCATGTGTTGAAGTCCTAAATCCCAATACCTCACAAGGTGACTGCACTTGGAGGTAAGACCTTTAAAAAAACATAGTTAAATGGGCTGGGCCCATTGCCTAGTGGTTAAAGGAATCAAATCAAACATGGCCAACCAAGTGGTTCAAATCCCAGCCCTGGCTGCTTGAACAACATGCCTGGTGTGAGCGTGTGTATGCCGAAAATCCTGACAGGGTGGCAAAATGGAGAAGAAATGGTGGCATGCCCATTCTCCAAAAGGGAGTGCTCCCCCCCCCCTTCCACCTGTCTCTCTGGCAAGAGCATGTACCCTCTGGCAAAATTTAAATTAAGATACAAAGCAGTGGGAACCAGCAGTTAGTGTAATGACTATGTCGCTGGACTCCCCCGTAGTCGACTGCGGTTCACATCCTGGAGCCGGTGGCTTAAAACCCATGCCGGGCGTGTGTGCGTGCGTGCCCAAGATCCCGAGAGGAGAATGGAGGCGAAGGGATTGCGGCGTGGCCATCCTCTCTGGGGGGTGATTTCTCGCTTTCTGTCTCTCTGTCTCTGTCTGTCTGGTGAGCACATGCACCCTATAGTGAAAAACCTCTCGAAAAAAAAAAAGATACAAAGCAGTGATTAAGTTAAAATGAGGCCATTGGGGGAGTCCTAATTTAGTCTGACTGGTGTCTTTATAAGAAAACTGGACACACAGACACCAGGGAAGTGCATGCACCAAGGAAAGGCCAGGCAGAGACATGAGTGTCTAGAAAGTGGCCATTTGCAAGCCAAGTGGGGAGGCCTCAGAAGAAACCAAATCTGCTAACAACTTGATCTTGAACTTCTGCCCTTCAGAAAATAAATTTCTGTTGTTGGAGCCACCCAGCCTGTTATGGAAGTATGAGCAACACCTAATACAGTTGGGAAAGGTGTTTCAAGGCAGAAGGACTGGCCCAAGCAAAGATATAAAGATGGTATTGCTACATTCTGAAGAGAAGAGGCCAGCGATTTTTTTCTACGAAGGGCCAGATAATGAATATCTTAGGATTTGGGGCTATAAAGTCTCTGTTGCACGAAAGCAGTCATATACAATGTGTAAAATCAAATGAGTTCAGTTGTGTTTCAATAAAACTTTATTTCAAAAACAGATAGCAGGGGGCCAGCAAGTGGCATAGCGGACTCCCATACGGCTGACCATAGTTAAAATTCTGACCTGTGGCTTCAAAGTCATGCTGGGTGCATGTGCGTATGTGCCCAAAATCCCAAGAGGAGAATGGAGAAGAGATTGTGGTGTGGCCATCCCCCCTCAGGGGTGATTTCTCACTTTCTTTCTCTTTCTCTCTCTGTCTCTCTGGCAAGCGCATGCACCCTATAACAAAAATCTCTCTTAAAAAAAAATAAAAAAGACAGCAGACTGGATCTGGCCCACAGACTAGATTGCTGCCTCTTCTGAAGAGGGGTATAGAAGAGCAGGAGTATGAAAGAGTGAGGGAGATGACCTGGGGCATGGTGAGGAATACCTTAGGTTGAAAACCCAGACCTAAACCCAGGCTCTTCTTCCAGCTCTGATAGTGGTCCCTTCAAAGTTCATGTGCTCCAGAATCAAAGTATCTGAGCACGTCATTTGGCTACAGCCTCCCACGGCAGAGTGGGTGAGAAAGTTGCGTGTGCCTGTAAAGGTTCCTGGGTGTGTTATTTAATCACATAGTACTGAACTCAGTCCTAGGCTTGACCTCTCTGAGTCTCTATTTCTTCATCTGAGTCATCTCTGTGACCTAGGTAAAGACAAGCACAGGGTCTGACATACAGTGGTTGGTCAATTAATGTCTGTCCCTTCTCCCTTTCCCCATTGCCAATAAAAGGTCATTACTAAAAAGCATTTGTGCCCCAATAGCTGTCAAGAATGGGTTTCACTCTCAGGGTTTGACATCTGTGTACGGATATCCTAGGCCAAGTGAATTCGAGCATAGACCGCAAGCAGCGGGGTGCAAAAGCACTTTTGTGAGAAGCATTTCTCAAAGGTAGAAACCCTAAGAGGCAGGTGCCAAAATGAACTCTTTAGGACAAGAGCTTCTTTTAAACAATAACCAGGACAGTGGCTAGGCCAGAGCTCCAGAGTTGACATGACCCTGTTTTGCATGGTTTTAAACAGACAAGTGCTATGATCCGACTTGCCTTGTAAAACTCTTGGTGGCGAGCAGATTGTAGTGGAGAGAGAGCATGCTGCCCTTGTCCCTTTCCAATGTCTTAGATTTTAATAAATTGGGGGTACAATTCGGTCCAAATATGGTCTACTCAAGAGCTAATGGAAGTGGAGCCGAAACACAGCCCAGCCAACAGAGAGAGCACAGAACCCACAAGTGGGACAGGGACTTGGCCCTGGCCTCGCCCCTCCGGCCGAGCTCCTCCCCTTGAGCTACAGACCGGGGTGAGCCCAAGTCTGGCTCTAGGAAACCTGCCCCAGTCCTTCCCTGGAAACCCGCTCTTATCCTCGAGATCCCGCCCCTTTGGGGCCTCGTCCCCGTCCATTGGGCGGCCGGTAGGAGGCGCCAGCGCACAGCCCGCCTCTTCTTCTCGGCCAGCCCGGCACCTTCATTTGAGGGCCTGCCCGCTCGCTCTTCGTTTCTGCCTACTGGACGTCGAGTTGGCAGCTAGCGGCCCGCTTCTTCTCGCCCCGCCCCTCCACCCGAGGCCCCGCCCACTCGACAAGGCCCCACGAGGTCCCGCCCTGTCCGTTGGGTGCCAGCAGGAGGCGCCGCGGGGCGCGCGGGACCCGGGCACCGGCTCGGGCTAACGGCGGGTGCGAGAGCCGCGCGGGCTCGCGGCGGCGACAGCCGGCTGCGCTGGAGGTGAGTGCGGCGTACGCGAGGAGTTGCCCTGGAGGCCGGGGTCGGCAGGACGGTGTTGCTCTGAGCATCTAGGGGCTCTGGGGCGCGGGGGGGGGGCCCGTGGGGCGCGCTCGGGTCATCTGCCTAGCCACGGATCAGGGTACGGAGAGCAGGCTTGTTCTGTTGCCATGGACACAAGCCGGTTCTCGGGCCCAGCGCGACCTTGGGGGGCGGCACTCTAAGGCGGGTGAGCGCGGGCGAGGGCGCCCAACCCGCGGGGCTCCAGGGTCTGCTTGGCCGCCGAGCCCTACGGGCCCAAGAACCTGGCTCTCGGTTCCGGTTTTGAGCCCCCTACTCAACTGGATTTCCAGCCCTTAGTTTCCCTGGCAGTTCCCTGGCGGGGTAGCAGGGGTCCGCGCGCTCTCCCACCCATATCAGTGTGACGCCCCCCGCCCACGGTTTTCCCGTTCAGACGGCAGCACGTTCACCATTCGTGTGCCAGCTAAAAGCATTGTTTTCCAGCTATTTCTGTACCACTTCCAGCCCCTCAACAAATACCGCATCTAAGAAAGCAGATGCTGAGCCCAACTCCTGGAGTCCTGCAGAAGGACCTGGTTTATTTCTCACCAGGGAGCTGGTCGGTGGGGCCCTGAGGGCTGCAGACCTGCCTGCTCAACCTACGTTGCCCTGTGGAGTGTTTGGTTAATCTGAATTGCCGAAAAGAATTTGATTACCAGTGTCTCCGGTTAGCATGGGACACCTCTTGTGCATTCCAGAGAGGAGCCACCAGTCTTTAATTCCACTAGGGGAAAAGTCAGTCCCTTCTCAAGAGGCTAGCATGTTGGAATTAAAACTGATTAAATTATGTTTGTATTTAAAAGTACGGCTCTGGCTGAAGCTGTAAAGATAGAAGTGGGAGGAGGTTTAGCAGAGTGTGCAAAAACTACTCTCCTTTTCTCCTCCTGGTGGAATGATCATAGTTCCACGTCGTCCTGTTGGAACCCAGATGTCCCTCCACCCATGTTGTCAGCCGACACTGACCTCACCCACCACCCGTTGCTGGGACATGAGCTTGTTTTCATCAGAAATTGGACTCTTCCTTGAGAACAAGAGAAAAACATTCTCTAAGAGCAGCAACAGCAAGCGTCCCACACCCTTGCTCTCTGGGCCAGAGCTTTCTCCAAGTGTTTGTGTGACAGAGCAGAGAATTGAGGAGAAAAGGAAAAGACAGGTCATACTTCCAAAAAAACAGATCTGGTTACCCAGGGTGTGCTCCGCTCCCTAGGGTTTTCCTGCACTCCTCTTGGCCTTTTTGAAAACAACTCCATCCCATTTTGACAAATGACTGACCTGTATATGCAGTCTGTGATTCGGAAGAAAAGTGGCATGTGAGCAAGGGGCTTACTTTCTGAAATGCCTGTAGGGAGAATGACTATAAGGAGAAAGAGATATGGTTTTGTGTTAACAGAGACTTTGGGGGACTTAAGAGGGAAAGAAATGAATCACATTCTCTCGTTTATGTTCTCTCTCTTTTTTTCATGATAGCGCTAACTCTGCCTTAGAACAAGAAGCTGCTGGAAAAGAGGGAGGGGCACTCATAAAGTCCAAATTCCAGGGCCCTGGAGGGGCTCTAATGGTTACGTATTTGTAATTTTCTATTTCTTTTTTATTAGATTAGAATTGTCTAAGCATCTGACCTTAGAAAATCTGCATCCGCCCTTGGATGCAAGATATCAGTTCACTTCTTCATTGTATCCGGGGGCCTTTTAAACCTTAGTATTTACTTCATGATGTTTTCACTGCCTAGAGATGGCTTCTGAAGTTTTTTGGTGTCACATTTAAACTTACATAAAGACATCATCTGTGGAGGCAGAGGCTTTCTTGTCTGGTGATAGAGGTTGTACCCCTGACCACTCTATGGATGTGGCTCGAGACCCTGGGTAGCCTCCAGAAATGGCGGCTGCACTAGGAGAAGGCGGCCAGTTAAGCCAGGTGTTTGTGAAGGGTCTGGCCCTCTGAGAATGAGTGCTGGCCCTGAGGCTTCTGAGCAAGGAGTGTGCCTTGAGAGGCACACTTGGGGAATTCGTGAGCAAGGTTGTGTAACTCAGAGTTGGCTAGTGAGTGCTAACGTGAGAGGCTGTTGGCAGGGGTTTGTCCTCTTGATTCCATGGACTCACTGTGAAATGATCACAGAAGGCTCAGGTCAGAATCAGGAGTGATCTGCAGCTGCTGGTGTGCAAATGCAGTCACAGCGTTGTGACCTGAGTACTGACTGAAAGTGCTTTTTTGTTTAAGAATGATTTATTTAATTTATTTTTGTTATTACTATTTTTAACTTGCTTTAGAGCACTCACCAGAGAGAAAGAGTAAGAGAAAGTGAGAAAGCAAACTGCCAGGTCTGGGACTGGAAATGCAGTCAGCCATGTGGGAGTCCAGCTCCTTAATGACCATGCCACCTGCCAACCCCTGAAAATGCTTTTGTTGTCAATTAAATCAAGATCTTTGGTCCATGGGAACCAGCAGTTAGCGTAATAGCTATGTTGCTGGACTCCCACGTAGTCGACCGTGGTTCGTGTCCCGGACCCGGTGGCTTAAAACTCACGCCGGGCGCGTGTGCATGCGTGCCCAAGATCCTGAGAGGAGAATGGAGGAGAAGGGATTGCAGCATGACCATCCCCCCTGGGGGGTGATTTCTCGCTTTCTATCTCTATGTCTCTCTCTGTCTGGCAAGCGCACGCGCCCTATAGCAAAAACCTCTCCCCCCCCCAAAAAAAAAAAATCTTTCCTCCATGAGGAGAAGCCATTGGCAGCACCAGGTTTCTTACAATTTGACAAAGACTTTTGTCATGCATTTCTCGGGAAAAGAAGCAATGTCTTAAGTTGTTATTTTTTTATAGCTGGGCTCTCTGACCCTTAAGAACACCTCATGCACACATTCTGCTCACCAGCAGGAACTAGAATCATGTTACACCTAGCCGTTTTAAAGCAAGGTCTAGTCTGTAGAAAGCCAGAGCATCATGGCTATAGGCTGGCCCCATAGCCTAGTGGTTAAGGGAGCAGGAGCCCACAGAGTTGACTGTGGTTCAAATCTCAGCTCTGGTGGCTTGAAAAACACACCTGGCACATTTGTGTGCTTGGCCAAAATCCTGAAAAGATGGAGGAATGGAGGAGGAGGGACTGTGGCATGACCATGCTCTATTACATGCTTTCTATCACCCCTTTTCTCTCTTTGTCTCTCTCTGGTTGTTGCATGCACCCTCTGGCAATTAAAAAAGAAAAAGAAAAAGAAAAAGAAAAAGAAAAAAGAAAGGTTCTGCAGTGGTAAATGCTCATCTCTCCCCTAGGGCGGACATTAGGGTTCAGAACCCAGTCTTTGGCATGTGAAGCAATTGGAAGCATTTTTTGAAGAGCTCAAGGTCCTCTGGGAATATATGTAGCTGATAGCCTGGGCTGATTCTGCAGGAGTTGGATGGTAACTGCTCTTTGGCATGATAGCCCTGGTAGACTGAGAGGCCTCAGAGAATAGGACTAAAGCTTAGGTGGGCAGCTGGAAAGAAATCCGACTCACAGTATCAGCTTTGGAGGCCTGGACAGTGTCACTGTTTAGTCTCTTAAGGGTCAACATGGCTCCTTTCCTTTTCAGGGGCTCTAAGCAGCCACGTTCCTTTCCAAAAGCCTTTTCTGGTGTCCACAGAACCATAAGTGAGTCAAGACTGGAGGGCGCTAATCGACTCCAGCTGAGTTTAGTGCTGACCTGAGTCTCAGTGGCAGGTGCCCAGTATTCCTTCGTGGGGACCTAGGCTACTCTTTCCAGAGCCTTTTAGAAAATAGACTTTTCTCCTGACTCATGAGTCTGCTTTTGACTTTGGTGGGAGCATGAGCACAGAAGTGGGGTAGCAGGATGCGTGCATGGTGTTCAGTGTCCCACTGCCTGTGGCAGAGGCCTCAGTCTTAGTGAAGCCGAGGACTGCCTGCCCTCTGCCCTTCTGTCACAGATTTGTTGGGGAGATTGTCTAGGACTCTTAAGCCCTTTAGAGCATGAGGGACAGTAGAGTTATGATTTCATGGCACCACCAAAGCTTCCCAGGGCTGTTTTCTGATTTCCCTGGGAAGATTGCATCTCTCTGGCCTGGGGTGGGCCGAGTGCCTGGCTGGATGAGGTGGGAGGAATGCACGCATTCCAGTCATGCCTCCCCTGGTTCTGGAAGAGCCCTTTGTGGCTACTCTGGTTGTGTAGACATGCTAACACTGCCCTCCCACTGAAGCGTCTCCTCCAAAGTAGAGCCAGGCTCTTGCATAGCCATCAAAGAGTCGCAGTTTCTCAGGATTTGTGCTTTGAAAGTTTGGTTGATTTTTTTTTTCCTTTGGTAGCTTTTTTTTTTTTTTTTGAGAGGTTTTTGCTATAGGGCGCGTGCGCTCGCCAGACAGAGAGAGAGAGAGAGACAGAGACAGAAAGTGAGAAATCACCCCCAGGGGGGATGGCCACACCACAATCCCTTCTCCTCCATTCTCCTCTCAGGATCTTGGGCATGCACGCACATGCGCCCGGCATGAGTTTAAGCCACTGGGTCCAGGACTCAAACCGCGGTCGACTACGTGGGAGTCCAGCGACATAGCCATTACACTAACTGCTGGTCCCTCCTTTGGTAGCTTTTTATTCTGTTAATTGCTTATTATTCTGGCTATGACTTTGCCTACTTCCCTAGTTCCCCAGTTGTGCTTGTGATGGATTTTCCATATTATAGACCGCCGTGTAGGAGAAAAGCAGGCCTTCGCTCCCAGGTGTTTATTGCTTCCCTTGAGCTGGGATAGTGCTTGGTGCACACCCTGGTGGAACGGAGCCGGGTGCTGAGCTTCTGCACTGAGCACGGCCTCCACTGGCTGCCAGTCACTGGGTCTGCACACCTACCACACTTGGCAGAAACACAAGCATCCAGCAGAGTATGTTTTACCTGTGGTGACTCCCATCGTGCTTCTTAGTAGTATGTTTCCTGGAAGGGTGCGTCCACCTACTTGAACTTCTCTATCCCTGGCTGTCCTTAGCTCTGGTGCTCTGTTGGGACTGGGCCTAGGGAAGGTCTTCTGGGGCCCGGGATGCTGAAGCCCCTCAGGCCTCACTCACACTAGCTACTTATGCTAGTTGGTGTTGACTTGTCTTACTCTTTTCTCCCAGACCACAGCCTTCTCCCATCCTGCGGCTGCAGCCCCCGGTCCCTGTCCATGAAGACTCGCCCACCATGTTTTATGGGACTCACTTCATCATGTCGCCACCCACCAAGAGCAAGCTGAAGCGGCAGAGCCAGCTGCTGTCCAGTGTGCTGTCCCGGACGCTGAGCTACAAGTACCGGGATCTGGATGCCACCTTCTCCAGCCTGGGTGCCAGTGATGACCCCGCAGAGCTCTCCACCCAGCTCTCAGCTCCTGGGGTCCTGAAGGTCTTTGGAGACAGTGTCTCCACAGGCACTCACTACAAGAGCGTCTTGGCCACCGGCGCCTCCAGTGCTCAGGAGCTGGTAAAGGAGGCGCTGGAGCGTTATGCCCTGGACCCTGCATGTGCCAGGCAGTATGTGCTGTGTGACGTGGTGGGCCAGGCTGGGGGCTCTGGGCAGCGGTGGCAGGCCCAGTGCTTCCGGGTATTTGGGGATAATGAGAAGCCCCTTTTGATCCAAGAATTGTGGAAGCCTCGAGAAGGTTTGTCCCGGAGGTTTGAGCTGAGAAAGAAGTCAGATGTGGAAGAGCTGGCAGCCAAGGACGTGGACACCACCACAGCAGGTGAGGGTGGATGGTTTAGAAGTTGCAAGTTGAGTGCACAGATGCCCGGTTGGGAGGAAGGGAGAAGTAAGAGATGGGGGTGTTCAGGGAACATGTGAAGGTGAGGTAACTTGGTGGGGGGGCAGTAGGAGCTGAAGAGCGCCTGTTAAATTCACCGTGTAGCCAGTGGTGAGATGGATCTTGTATGGCTGACTGCCTGTGGCTTGAAAAACATGCTGGGCACGTGTGCCCAAAATCTCAAGAGGAGAATGGGGAAGAAGGGATTGTAGTGTGGCCATCCCATCTGGGGGGTGCTTTCTTACTCCTGTCTCTTTTTAGTGAACATTTTATAGCAAATTTAAAAGTGAAAATTAAAATTAAAAAAATTACCGTTAACCTGAGCTGTCTGGGAAATTGCAGTTGAGACTACAAGTGCCTGCCAGTGTTTTTTAGTGGCTCTTAATATATCCTTACAGGGATGGGCAGTTGGCGTAATGGCTATGTTACTGGACTCCCATGTAGTCAACTGTGGTTTGAGTCCCGGACCCAGTGGCTTAAACTCATGCCAGGCACATGTGCATGTGTGCCCAAGATCCCAAGAGGAGAATGGAAGAGAAGGGACTGTGGCATGGCCATCCCTCCTGGGAGGTGATTTCTTGCTTTCTGTCTCTCTGTCTCTCTGTCTTTCTGACCAGTGAATACACCCTATAGCAAAAACCTCTCCAGAAAAAAATTTAAAAAAATATATATCCTTACAGTAATTTAGGCCAAATCTGTGCTTTGACTGAGTCAGATCACTGCCCAGCTCTTTAGCAGTCATCTCATCACACAGAGAACCACGCACACCCTTTTTAAACACAGGGTTACAGAGGTTACCCAGAGTCTCTTCATATTGAAATGTGGTGTGAATTTTAAGGGCAATCAAATTAAATGACAATGGAAGAATTTCACCAGCCAACACCTGTCTGGCACTGCTAGGCTGCACAATTTCTAGGGGCGACAGGGTACACTTGGCTGTGCAGCAGGTCTGTGGCTGCTGGGTTAGTGGAGGCTGTTCTTGAAGAAGGCTCGGCCTGGAGGCAGTGGATTCTTGGCTCGGCCTGGAGGCAGTGGATTCTTGTCCTGTCCAGTGAGGGCTGGAACAGGGGCAGTTCTCAGAGCTGCCCTAGGTGTGAGAGCCCCGCCGCCTGGGCCTGGTGGAAAGAAGTTGTTTAGGTGCACAGAGTAGAAAATATTTTTTCCAAATCCAAAGATATTCTTAATTCTATTTCAGATCTTATTCAACTTTTTCTTAATTTCCCATAACAATGAGTGCTTTGCACAGAAAGTGAACTTATTAATAGTTTATCCTGTCCAGAGCAAGAAGGATGCTCAGGGGCCCAAGGAGACCTAGCCTTTGATTTCATGGTGCTGCAGGATGGACAGGGGCCTTGAGTCCTTGCTGACGTCTTGCGTATGTCCTTCAAGGTGCTGTGACTGTTCATGTCCTCTAGTTTTGCTCCCAGGGGGACCCCATCTTGCTCTTTTGTGTCACTGAATGAAGTCAGGCATGTGACAGAGCAACCCTGGGTCACATAGCTTTGGGGTGCCATGGCTGGTTAGGCAGCAGTGCCTCTGCTTATTACTCCATCTCTTTTGGTCTCAGTTTCCTGATTTGGAGAATGGGGATAACAGCCAGTCACAGCAGGGTTGGGGAAGTAACTGGCCAAGCGCACCTACTGCGACGCATGCTGCAGTGCCCAGGAAGTCGTAGCTGTGTAACATTACTGCTGTTATTCATGCTGTGTGCATATAGACAGCAGCCCTCCAAGGTTGGGGTGGGCATGGGCAGTGGAGTGGCCCATCTGATAGGGAGAAGTGTTTTGTCACTGATGTGGTTTAGAATTGCTGGCATGTGGTGATAATAAAAAGCAGACCAACTTGCAGTGGCATTTATTATTGCTTTTAGTCTCCTCAGACAAGCACCCCTTGATTTTCTTACATGGGAGACCCCCTCTTGACCCCACAGGTCTGGTCATGGAGTCTTCGTTTTCATCCTGATCCTCCTTGTCACAGTGCAGAGCACTTTGGCCCCTTCCACTCCTCATTCTAACAGACCTCCCGCGAGGTCAAGAAAACCTGCCAAGGGGAGAGGTGGTGTACTTGAATGACATTAATATTCTGCACAGTGACAAAGAGTCTCTCATCTCACATCTTTGTGAGATGCAGAATTCAATTTATTCTTCTGATCAATGTTTCCAGATGAAAGAACAAGTGGGATGGGCCTGGGAGGCTGGGGCTGCTGCTATGTGGCCCCATGCCTGGCCTGGCTGGTCCTGAGGTCCTGTGCTGTGTCACCTGGATAAGGCGGAGCCCTTGGAAAGCCTACTCTGCTCACCCAGTTGGCAAGTGGTTGCTGGTATGGGGCAGTAGGCCCACACTTCCCATAGCAGGAAACGGGAGTTAGTTTATGTTCTGCAACCCTTTGTAGAGTTGTTTGTCAAAGCAAGAGAAGGTTCCACTGCTCATGGCCTACTTCACTTGGGTTATGGTTTTCAAATAAAGAGTCCATTAAGCTGAAAGTCTTACTGACACACTTGTCTGGGTTGGGGCGGGTTGTATTACCTGCCCAGTGCAGGCTCCTGGGCCCCAGGGAGCTGTCCTTCCTTGCTGACCTTCTTCTCTGACTGTGGCCAGGCACTCCTGTGCCTCTCAGCCAGTCCGTTGACCTTGCCAGTGAATAAGGTTTGTGGAGGCTGCTGGGTGAGTGGAGACAGACTGGCTGTCACGGGCATGCACACCTGCTCTCAGTCATTACGGAACGCTTATTGAGCCCTTCTTTGAGCCGGGTAGAAGACTAGGCCCTGGCATAGACAAACAGGTAAGCCAGGCTCAACACAGTCCAGGTTAGCTGCAGATGACCCTGCAGACAGATGCAGCCTGCTCCAAACTAGGGCCCATGGGGAGGCAGAACTGAGGGCAGAGTGCGGCTTCTAGAACCCTGGAGTTACAGTCTGCGTCTGGCTATTCTGATGACATAGATAGGTGATATAAAAATGTCCACACAGGACCCACTCCAGTGGCACACACACTAAGATGCTTGTTGTGCAGGCTGGGACCACATGGGAGGCCCAGGTTTGATTTGGCTCTCCCTCACAGGCTGGTATGGTGGATGTGCCTGTAATCCCAGTAACTGGGGAGGCTGAGACACACAGACTGAGACAGCAAGACCCCGTCCAGAAAAAAAGAAAAAGGGAGGAAAATATGCAACACACACACACAGTCTCACACTTCAAATGTCCCCTGAATAAATGACCTGGCATAGGCTTTCTTGGAGATCTGGAGGTGGCATGACACATTCCTTTGCCCCACTCCTAGGAGTTTTCTTTTGTCATCCTGCCAGGGAAGGTGCAGAGCCATCACTGAGGCTTCACCCTCCCTGTGAAGGCCAGCTGCCAGGCGGCGCTTGGTGTCTCCCTTCCTCCCACCTCTACTAGGAACCACTAAAGAAAGGCTGGAGTCACTGTGATGAGGAGGTGACAAGAGTGAGGAGTTGTCACTCTGGTGCTTGGTGACTTTCAGCATCCACCTCAAGTAGAAGAAGGATTGAAACTCCCCATCTTTCTCCAGGGGGCTTTCCCAGGATTCGTGACACCCTTGGCCGAGTCCTCTGCCTTGCACAGTGGAGGGGAGCCTTGCACCTACCGGGCAGCCTGTCTCTTCTGAGCCTCCGGGGATGCTGATAGGGTCTGAGGTGCCTGCTCAGAGAGTGGCCTCAGTTCAGGCCCTTGTGTCACTGTGTTGTTGTATATTGTCATTTGCTGCAAGGGAATGAACACTGCAGAGGTGGGTACTGCAGATTTCAGAGGATGGAAAGATGGCACCCGCCACTGCAGAGCAATGCCCCAAAGGACAGAGGTGAGGTTGTCCCTACTTCCCCAGTGAGAGAATAGTCTGACCTCACCTGGAAGAAATGGAGGAAGAGGGAAGGGACTGCCTGCCTGTGCATGTGTATGCATGTGTGTGTGTGTCCATGCATATGTGTGAGCACATGCCGGCCTTCTCAGGCTTCAGATTATTGAATCCTGTCACACCACTTTTCACTATTGCAGTCTTGTCCCTGCGGTAAAATCTTCCCGCTGGCTCTAAGAATTGAGATTGGCAGGCCCTGTGAGTTGCAGATGAAGCAGTGAGCCAGAGCCAGCGCCTTGTGTCTTGGTGATATCTTGGCGCTGAGCAGAACTGGAGTGAGTGCCTGCTTGGCTTCTGGTACTCCAGAGCCCCATGGTCAAAGTGACCCTTCTAGATGTTTCCCTGAGGGCACTGAAATGAGAATCTCACTAGGTTCTTATTAATCATCTGGGCCACTGTTATGCACCCACAATCGTGCCCTCAGGCACCTGTGGATTTTTGTTTCCTTAAACATCGTCTTTCCATAGCTGCCAGTTTTCCCAATTTTACAAGTATTAAAATTTCGAGGATCTGTGCTGGAGGGAGTCGGCTGGGTGGGTGGGGCTTTGCTGGGCTGGAAAGCGGCCCTTTCTACAGTTTCCCAGAAGGCCGTATTTAGGAGTGGTGCCACGTGGAGAGGACCCTGGGTCCTGTCACTGAGATAAAGACAGAAATCACTTTGGGAGGGGTGTCAGCAGGGCCATGTGGTTTTTGTCAGTGGCTTGGGAAGGGCCAGAGAGAAAGGCTGTGTGTTCCCAGGGGGAGCTAAATCAGCACAAAGCTCTGGGAGGTCTTCCTTCTTCCTTTTTTTTTTTTTTTTTTTTTTTTTTTTTCTTTTTTTGAGAGATTTTGCTATATGGCGCATGTGCCTGCTGGAGAGATAGAGAGACAGAAAGCAAGAAATCATCCCCAGGGGGGATGGTCATGCCGCAATCCCTTCTCCATTCTCCTCTTGGGATCTTGGGCATGCGTGCAAATGCACCCGGTGTGAGTTTTAAGTTGCCAGGTCAAGGACTCAAACCATGGTCAACAATGTGGGAGTCCAGCGATGTAACCATTACACTATTTGCTGGTTCCCCCTTACTCCCTCT